ATGAGGCTGGAGGAAGTCACCAAGGGAGTGGAAAAAAAAGACAGAAAAGACAGATGAGGCCCTCAGATACTAAGAAAATGGGGGGAAAGGACTGATAAGGGGTGAGACTGAGAAGGAGAGGCCATAGAAGTAAGAGAAAAACCAGGCAAGGTTGCTGTCTGAGAAGACAAACAAGAAAGCATTTCAAGGAGGGGAGGGTGATCAGCTGGCCAAGAGCTGTGACAAGTCAAGGAGATAAGGAGAGAACATTGGACTTAGCCAGGAGGAGGTCGGGCGCGGGTGATATTTGTAAGAGCAATTTGGGTGGCAGGGTGAGGACAAGTGTCTAATTAGGGAAGTTTGAGTGTGAATGAGAGGAGAGAAATCAGAGACAATATGTACAAAGTGGTTGCTGTGATAGGAAGGAGAAAAATAAGAGCGCGGCTAAAGGGGTAGTAAGATCAAGAGAGGTTTGCTTGTTTGTTTTCAGGAAAGAATAGGAAAAGCTGATTTATATACTCATGAGAGTGACCCAGCTGGTTCTTTCAGAAGATCAGTATAAATGATTATCCCCTGGCCAAACTAATGGAAAAGAGAAAAGTCGAATTCCAATATCAAGAATAAAAATATGTAATCACTACAGATTGTATAGATATTAAAAGGATAATAAGGGAACATTATGAATGACTTTATGTCAATAAATTTGACATCTTAGGTGAAATGAACAAATTCTTTGAAGGACGAAACTACCAAAGCTCTCAGGAAGAAAAAAATAACCTAAATAGCCTTCCATCCATTACAGAAATTGGGCTTATAGTTTAAAATCTTCCTAGAAAGAAAGCTCCAGGCCCAGGTAGCTTCACAGGTGAATCTTATCAAACTTTTAAAGAGATAATACCAACTCTATACAAGCTGTTCCAGAAAATTGAAAGGGAAGGAATAATTCCCAACTAATTATACGAAGCCAATATCCATCTGATGCCTAAACCAGACAAAGACATTATAAAACTACAGTCCAATATCCTTCCTGAACATAGGTGCAAAAATTCTAAACAAAATTTTGGCAAATCCAACCCAACAATATATTAATCTAGGGATACAAAGTTGATTTAACATTTGAAAATCTATCAGTGTAATTCACCATATTAACACATTTTATAAAATGCAGAAAAAGCATTTGACAAAATCCAACATCCATGCTTGATGAAAATTCCTAGTAAACTAGAAATATAAGAGAACTTCCTCAACCAATGAAAAACCTACATTTAACATACTTAATAATGAAAAACTAAATGCTTTCGCTCTAAGATCAGGAATATGACAAGGATATTTACTCTCACACTTTCTATTCAGCATTGAAGGAAAGAAAACAGAGAATCCAGAAATAAACCCACACGTACATGGACAATTGATTTTCAACAAACGTGCAAAGGCAATTCAGTGGAGAGAAATAATCTTCCAACAAATGGTGTGGAAGCAATTGGCTATCCATATACAAAATAAATGAATTTCAAATCATATATTGCATATATAAATAAAAATTAACTCAAAATGGACCTTTGATCCAAATGTAATCATTTTACATAACGACAAAAACTTCTAAAGGAAAATATTGGTCACCTTTGTGACCTTAAGTTAGGCAAAGATTTCTTAGATATGAAAAAACAAGCCAGGGACTGGGAGAAAATATGTGCAAATTGTATATCTGATAAAAGATTTGTATAAAGCATATATAAAGAATTTTCAAAACTCAATAATAAGAAAACAAATAATACAATTTTTTGAAAGATTAACACAAATGCTTCACCAAAGAAATTATGTGGATAGCAAATAGGCCCATGAAAAGATGCTTAACATAATTATTAAGGAAATGCAAAGTTAAACCACAGTGAGATATCACCATACATCCATTAGAATGACTAAAATTTAAAAGACCAACCATAGCAAATACTGGCAAGGATATAGAGGACTGATACTCTACAGTGCTCATGGGGAGGGAAAATCATGCAACCATTTGGGAAATGCTTTGGCAGGTTCTTAAAAAGTTAGATATACACTTACCTTATGATCTGGCTATTCTACTCCAAGATATTTACCCAAGAGAAATGGAAGTACAGTTAACCCTTGAACAACATCGGTTTGAACTGCGTGGGTCCACTTACAAGCCGATTTTTTCCTTAGTAAATACAGTCAGTACAGTCAGCCCTTAGTATCAAAAGGTTTTGAAGCTGCAGATTTCAACCAACCGCGGATCGAAAATAGTATTTTTTCATTCCCAACTGCAGATTCCCAACCACAGATTCCCAACCACAGATCAAAAATGCTGCTTTGGATCCTCGGTTGATTGAATTCAAAGATGCTAAGGGTCATTATTTTATATTAGTTCAGGTGTACAGCATAGTGGTTAGATTAGACACTTGTATAATTTATGCAGTAATCCCCCCCCAATTAGTCTAGTACACCCCTGGCACTATACACAGTTGTTATATTCTCTGGATTTTTTACTACAGTGGGGGGATTGGCACCCTTAATCCCTGTGTTGTTCAAGGGTCAATAGTATGTGTCTATTTTTTTTAAATCAGAAATGACTATGAAATAATAATAATAATAAACAACTCATTGGTTAAGCACGAACATTCAGACTATGGAGGACCACAGAGTCAGTGGAAACAGTATACATCTATTAAAGACATGTGCACAAATGTTCACAGAAGCTTTATTTGTAATAACAATGACAAATAAAAACAATACAAATGTCCCTCAATAGGGGAATGGATAAACTACAGTACATCCATACAATGAAGTACTACTCAGAAATAAAAAGGAATGGACTGTTGATACACGTTACAAAATGAATGAATCTCAACATACTTAAGTGAAAGAAGCCAGACAAAAAGCAGAGCACATGTTGTATGAGACTACTTAAAAATTTTTTAGAAAATACAAACTAATTAAAAAAGACAGAAAGCAGATTTATGGTTGCCTCAGAATGGGGAGGCCTATAAAAGAAGGAATTACTAAGGACAAAAGGAAAAATTTTTAGGGTGATGGGTATGTTTATTATCTTGATTGCGGTGACGGTTTCATTAATGATATATTTGTCACTCTAAATGTGTGCAGTTTATATCAAGTATACCAATTTATGTTAAAAAATAAGTTTGGGAAATGTTGTCTTTGGAATTTTTACACGAAGCCAGTCTTCCTTAATGCATTTTTTTCCTTCTCATTATATAACAACAAACAGGTCCAAAATCAAAGCCCCACAAATCTCCTCTGGTTTCACAAATTTTGTGGGAGGCACTGATATCGTCATTTTCTGTGTGTGCCATGGTGTAGGACGAGCACTAGTCTTGAGAGTCATTCTTCCATCCTTGTGGGTCAAGATGATGTCATTGAATTTTAAGCACAAATGGGTGCCATAGGAGGGGCATCCCCACCGCAAGACTAAAATAGTCCTCTCTCTGTTTTCCTTTCTGAAGGAGAAGTTAGTGGCTAAGGTTTGGACAAAAAGAAAAGTGAAAGCTGGAGCTCAGCCATATGAGGGCACCAACCCCTGATCCCTGGTCCACATAAACAGCAGTGTGAGAGGTAGAGGGGTACAAGGTGACCAGAGGTTTCCAGGTTCCGGGGTAATATGACTTTGGATAAATAGAGCCAGTGCAGTCCCAAGCTCCCTCGGTGCCTCTGTATCTCACTCCCATCTAAACACAGAGCGCATCCTCAGACATTAGCCAGAGTCAGAGAGCCTGGAGGACATTAGCCAGTCACAGAGTTTGACCTGGCCTTGTATCCAGAGATATCCAGAGATCAAAATTGGGACCAGGCAGAGGCTCCAGCAGTGGTTGCAGTGGCCACCCCATGAAGACAGCTGCACGAGGGGCTGCAGCTGTCCCTGGTTTTGTACACCTAGTATCATGTGTCCACATGAGGCAGCAGAGGCAATAGAGAGGCTCAGTGCCCCATGAGATCCTACCTGAGTTCACATCATGGCTTTGTCAGTTACCAGCCACATGCCTCGGGGCAAGTCACTTAACTGCTCTGCACTTCAGTGTTTCCACCAATAAAATGAAGATATGAATGACCTCATAACATATAGCTATGAGGGCTAAAGGAATTGATATCTGTAAGATGTTTAGACAACTAGAAGTTTAGACACAAAGTATGCTCACGGATGTGTTTGCTATTGTTGCATTATTCTATCCTTTTGAAAAGCCCTCTCCTGCCCTTTCTTATACATAAGACAACCCAGGTTTGTATACATGGCATACCAAGCCCCTGACCCCGTAACTCCTGAGTGTGATGGGCATTTCCCTTAACACCCCTAGATTAAGTTCTTTGGGTCTGGGGCTCTTGCTGTTTGATTTCTAATGTCCTGGCTACTAAGAACGTCATAGAAAATCTAGAACTCAAGTCTTGGGGCAGGAAGGCTTGGGTGGACTGATCCATGCAGGTCCTGCTGTCTCCAGCAGGGGGCAGTCAGCACCAAGCTTTGCTTGGCATTAAGTGCTGTCCACAGGGGAACAATAAGCTGCTTAGTGTAGGAGGGAGAGTGGCTCTGATTCTAAAGCCTGGGGGAATTGGTGGGCACTGCTCCTTCTCAGACCCCTGACTTTCCTAGTTCCCGTCTGTCCCACTTTTCGGAAGAGGAGCTTCAGGTCATAGGTGGCTTGGTCTCAGTTCCCATGTGTAAAATAGGCATTGTCATCTCTGCCTCCTCCCCTGAGGTTTCCCCCAGCAAACCAATTCCTAGCAGGAAGGGCAGGCTCCAGGCCCCGCCCACAAGCCCTGCTAGGAAAAGCCATTTCCTTAAGTAGCAACAGCCAAGAATAGGAGAGGCTATTCCAACCCCAGGAGCAGGCAGCCTTGGGCCAGCCACAGACCCTCCTAGGTCTCTCAGTATCCCAAACTGTCCCAAATCTTTGCCCCAGGGTGGATGCCTTTAATCCTGCACCAACACGGGGTTGCCAAGCCCATGTTCAGGGCTTCCACGCTCCCTCCCGACCCAAACAGCACAAACAAAAGACAAAAACCAAAAAATCAAGTCTTTATTGTTTGATTAATAAACTGGCTTTGGAGGGGCAACAGTGGAGAACATGGGGAAACACACAGCTTTGCTTAGTCAGAAATTCCTGTTAACTCTGTACAAAATGAATGTTACAAAATCATGTAAAAAAATCCAAAAAAAAAAAAACCCCGGGTCAGCAAAACAGCAGCCCTTGGGGATGTGTCAAGGCACCTGGTGGCTGAGAAATGGCATGGCCGTGGGACTGGGGACCCGGGGGCTGCACCCATCCCCTCCTTTACCATGGGGCTCACATGCTCTTCTCTCTCACCACTTACAAATCACTATAAAACTGCCCCCAGAGGGGCATGAACACCAGAGGCCAAGGCACTGCCAGAAACCAAGCGGCCCTGGGCTGAGTGGTGAGCCTGCTCATCCCCGGCGGCAGCTCAGGCCGCGTTGTTCCCCACGCCCAGCAGTGTGGGCAGCTATGGCCCCAGAGCTGGGGAGGCCCTCAGGCTCTGCCCTCCGGGGAGGCAGTGGCCATGGAGGCCTGAGCCAGCTGCCAGAGCACATGCAGCCTGGACTTTGGTCAGCGCCGAGTATGGGGAGGGCAGCCACGGTCCTGTCCAGCCCACACAGCATGGTGCTATCCTGGCAGGGTCCCGAGGGAGCTGCTGCCCCAGGCCGGCCCTAACTGGGGTAGCACATGCAGCATCCCGTGCCTGCTGCTTCCACGTTGGCCTTGGCAGCAAACATCAGGGGCCCATCGGTGACAGAGTACTCCATGATAATATCCTCCACCCGGGTGATATACAGGAGCGTCAGCAGCACCCCCAGGAACTGAGGAGAAGGGACAGGGGGCGTGAGAGCCTGCTGGGGATATGGGCAGCCCGCTCTAGCAGTCCCCAGTTCCCAGGAACCCAGGCGGCCAGTCATGAGCGCTCATGGCACCGGTGACCCGGAAAACCCCCAGAGCACAGGCTTCTCCCCAGCACCCTCACTGCCCGAGCGGCCCTAGCCTGGGCTCTCCTCATCCCTCCTAGGAAATCCCTGGGACCCTCCCTGTGCCCCCTCAGAAGAGGCTTCTCCATTCTGGGATTCCTATCTCCACCCTCGGCAATGCCACTCACCATCTGGGGGATCTTGGGCAACTCACTTAATCTTGCCGAGCCTCAGTTCCCTCTTCTGTGAAATGGGCATGATATGAGCACCTACTTCGCAGAACTGAAGGAGGCAGTGCTTGTAAAGCACTCAGAAGAGCTTTATAAGCAATGCTATTGCCATTCGCCCTCTCCTTCCAGCCCTCCAGCCCTCCCAGGGTGAGCTCACACTGCTGGTACCAAAGCCTTCTTCACCCCGCCCCTTTGGACCTCCTCTGCACCCTGTAATCACCAGCCACGCTATCTGAACCCACTGCCCACCCGCCACCCATACCTCCAGCGCCCCTCCTTGAGCAGAGAGGGGACCAGCCCACCTGGGGGAGCAGGATGCCCAGCAGGAGGCCCGCCATGATGGTATAGTTGTCCATGAACCAGATGAGCACGGCGTTGGTGCAGCCCCGCACGTAGATGACATTCTGCAGGCTGAGGCGCTGCACACAGAGGAGCCTGGCTGAGCACTCGCCTGGCAGGGCCCCAGTCCCAACTCCGCCACACATTCGAGCTCCCTTAACCTCTCTGGACCTCAGGTTCTCCCATGCAACGTGAGAAACTGGTTCTAGGCCACTGGGTCTCCATGGGCAGTACTGTTCCCTAGAGAGTACTGGAAACACTGTGGTGGCACTTCTAGTTGTCACAGTGATTAGGGTTGGGGACTGAGAGACTTCAGAGCTAAAGGCAATCCTACTTCACAAACAATTTCCCTGCCTGCCTGCCTCTCAGATGTCATCCAGGCACCCGTGTGGGTGAAAACCTATCCATAGCTATCTAAAAGCCTAACTCCAGGCACACATAAAAACCAAAGTGTGTTCTGTGTGGTTTTACTACACGCTGAGTTTTGCAGAAAAACTACCATGTAAATTAAGAAATTATTATACTTTATTTTGTTCAAAACTTTGTCAAGAATTGGTCACCATTTTTTTAAAAAAACATATCAACTGCAAAAATAATGCCCCATGGTATGCAAGTTGCCAACATAGCACTCCTCAAGGTAGCAGCTGCAAACACCTGAGTGACTGCATTGTCTCTTCGGCTGTATCTACCTAGCTATCCTGAGCATTTACATTTGAAATACATTATATGGTAATAAATTGTTTTGTTTCTCTTTTCATCTCAGTTAGATCATTATGATACTTGTTTTTTAATTATGTGTGTAGGTAGGTTATAGTATCTGAATTTCACTTCAGGATCATAAATAGGGTATTACCAAGTGTTTATTATAAGCTGGCCATTGGGTCTGATGGCTTGAGAACCGCTGTTGGTCTATGGTTCTCCAACTTAAATGTGTGTCAGGGTCACCTGCTGGGCCCCACCCCAAGAACGTGCATTTCTAACAAGTTCCTGGAGGGGTGCTGTTGCTGCTAGTCTGGGGCTCATTTGGAGAGGCATCCAGGGTGAGCAGAGGCAGGCTGGTGCTGGGCACACTGGGCACAAGGGCATATTCCTCACAGACAAGCCCACAGCAGGTGCTCAGCAAACCCTAGCAGGCAACCTCTCCCGGCCTGGGGGCTCTTGGCTCCCTGAGCCCGTCTGTGTCTAGGTAGGCGTGGAAAATCCTGGCAGTCCTGGCTCCTGTTCATAGACAGGAATGGAAAATCCCAGCAGCCAGGAGCCTCACCCCTAGGAACCTTCCCCCAGTCACTCCGGGGATGAGACAGGAAGAGCAACCATTCTGGAGGAAAGAGATTTCAAAGACATTACCTCCTTGTCAATAGTTCTATAGCCACACATGGTGTTGACAACTTCTGTCTGAAACAGAAAGGTATATTAGTTAATATGTGGTACTTATTGTCAAAGACACTGTTAATTCTCCCCATTTTATGAGTGAAAAAACTGAGGCACAGAGTTGAACGCCCAGCATAGATGGAGCTGAGATTCCCACCCAGGCAGTCTGGCTTGAGTCTGCATCTCCCCCAAGAAATGCCCAGGGAAGAAAGGTGGGATCGCTAGTTCCGTGGCACTTGGGTGGAGATCACTCCTCCACCAGGGGGCAGCCTAGGAACCCAGAGAAGTGTACCGCCCCAGACTCCCCCACTGCAGCCTCCCCAGAGGCACGGCTCTGTTGACATGAAGATGTACTGTCTCAGAGGTCGGGCTGGGCTGTTCCTGCTCCACCAGCTCTTCTGAAGGAAACTCTCAGACCACAGCCAGGACCCTGGCCAACAGGGGTTTACCTGAGAGCAAGCCCAGGACCGCTAACCACACTTCCCTGCCCCTGCAGACCCCACCAATGGAAATGCCTCCCCAGTTCCTCCCTGGGAAGAGAGTAGCTCTCAGCAACTCCCAGCTGCGATAAATCCAGGCACAGGGAAAGCTGTGATTGGCCCTGGACCCCATTGGGTGTGGGTGACGCAGGTGCCAGCAGTGATACAGGAGGGCAGCAGGGGGCAGTTTGGCCTCTGGCATCATGTTATCTGATCCAGACCCTACTCTGTCACTTACAAGCTCTGTGACCAGCCTTCAGTGCGCTGCTGGGGGACTGGCACATGGAGGTACTCAATGAGTACTGGTGAACGAATGAATGCATGAGTGAAGGTGCTCCTTAGACGCTTCCATAAGCAAGGGTGATCAGTGAACCCATCGCACAGGGCTGTTTTGAACACAGAGTGAGATATACACATAAAGGGCTTATGCCAGGGCTGAGCACACAGACGAGCACAGGAATGCTGGTTGGAAGGACTTGGTTCACAATCCCAGCTTCTGGAAAGGCAAGGAAGGGCATTTACTCTCCTTCCAAAAGAGCGGGTTGGACCTCAGACGTCACCCAGGTCAGGGCCTGGTGCGTGGGCAAAATAACGTCCCTCAGTCTCAACTGCCTCCAGGTGCCCTCAGACCCAGCATCACCCAGCATCCACTTAGCATCGGCCAGTGTTTCTGGTCCCTCCAAGCTATGAACATGACCCCCATGGAGAGGGTCAGGCTGGGAAGAGGTACATGAAGGCACGATGGGAGTGGGTACATTCTGCGTCGTTTGTTCGCTCACTCGGTCATCCACTGAACAAATATTAATGAAACATCTATTCTGTGCCGATCGCTATTCTAGGTATTTGAAATATAAAAGAACAAAACAAAGTCCTTGCCTTCATAGAATTTATATTCTAGAAAAGGAGACAGGCAATGAACATGATAAATAAGTAAACTATATGGTATGAAAGGAGGTGACAAGAGTAACTTACTCTTCACTGTGGTTCCAGCCCTGGAGGTGGGATCATGGCCCCCACCCTCAGAAAGCAGACATGCAACTGGCAGAGGCCTCCCTTCCATGCAGAGCCCAGAACCCTTCCCTAGGCCACAGAGGGACTTGCCTTCCCCTTCCAGGAGAGCTACCCTCCAAGGGTAGGGGAGGGGGTTTCAGATGCATCCATGGTCTTTCCAAAGGTAAAGCCTGCCTGGGTTTGACCACAGAATCGATATTCTACAGAGGCTCTGCTGAAGGTTCCCAGGCCCCGGGACCAGCTGTACAGTGTGGCCTCTCCCATCGGGCACAGGGCCATAAGGCAGGCCATCAGAAAGAGGGCTCCTGGAGCAGCCAAAAGATCAATACGGCAAAATTCACAGGGGTTATGCATGTGTGCTTCCTTTCACCCTGACCCAGGGCCGATGAGCTGGGTTATCTGGGATCTGAGCCGCTAATAGAAAGGAAGACAGCGGACTTCAGGGACAGGCCCCCACGGGGTAACCAATAATAAGTGGATATTGATTAGAATTAGATATCAGAGCTCAACAGGCCCAACAGCAGTCTATGGCCATTTAATGTAGAAGCAAGCCACCCTTTACACCAACAGGTCTTAGGAACATCCTTAGTATAACCACATTTTACAAGCTGAGGTACAGCTCTGCTGCTCCAAATCCTCTACAAAGAACCAAGAGAGCTGAAGGTAAAGCTCCTGTCTTAAGATTAGCAGGCTTGAGACGCAGGAAGAGCTGATGTTTCAGTTTAAGTCTGAAGGCAGTCGGGCAAGGAGAATTCTCCCTTACTCGGGGGAGGGACAAATACCACCCAAATCCTCTGTAGGAAGCCTGGTAGAAGACATTTCTTTTAAAGCCAAGATCTAGAAGGAAAAATGACTTACCCTGAAGAATGGTGTGTTTTCTTCTGTTGAACAGTAACAGACTACATCTCCCTTTGTCCTTTGGCTGCCAGGGAGCTCTAAGCCACCAAACACAAGGCTCGTTTCCAGTGAGCCCTTTAGGCCTACATATCAGTAGTTTATATTTTTCTCATCATCATCTGGCACTCCGATTTTAAAATATATTTTCTATGACCTAATTTTTTTAATTTTAGCCTCTTATTCTATGTGTTTCCTGTATGCTCATTCAGATCCTTGGATGAATGAGATGCAGTAAAACCTTGGATTGCGAGTCACATGGTTTGCAAGTGTTCCTCAAGATGAGCAAACATTTTTAGTACATTTTAACGTGGTAAACGAGTGATGTCTTGCAATACGAGTAGTTTGTTTCCGAAATGAATTATGCTCGCAAACCAAGGTATTACTGTAGTGTAAAATAAGTAGGCTCATACACAAATGGAACAGATTCTACTGAGGAAGGAAACACCTGTTTTACATTTAGAGAAAAGTGTCCAGGTGTGGGAGACACAGGGAGAACAAGACAGTTTTGTCATACAGAACCAGAGATGACCCAGCCAGGTGACAGCTGCGTCCCCACCTCAGCGTTCCCATCCAGATGCTGGCTTTAAATTCTATTTCTCTACCGGTGGCATCCATGTTTATCCTCCCAACTTGGACCTCTCCCCCATACTCCAGACCCCTTATATCTAACTGGAACATCAGAGCGTCTCAAACTCCTTATGTATATGCTGAGCCGCTGACACCCCCAACCTGCATCCCTGAGTCCTCCCTCTCAAGCAAAGGTAGCCCCACCTTTCTTGTGGCACAGGCCAAACTCTGAGAGTCCTCCTTGATTTCCTCTTTCACCAACCTCCTACACCTGATCTGTCAGCAAATCCTATTGGTTTACTTGCAAAACACAGCCAGAGTCTGAGACCACGTTTCTCCACCCCCATGACTGCCACCTGGCTCTAAGCCTTTGTCTTCTCCTGCCTGATGTGTGGATGCTGTGAGGAGCTGCCCAGAGCCCCTGCAGCTGCTTCCGGCAGGAGCCCTTAGGGGTCAGCCCCCTGGGTGATCGTCACATGGAGTTAATTTTATGTGTCAACTTGACCGTCACATGGAGTTAATTTTATGTGTCAACTTGACCAAGTTTTGGGGTCCCCAGTTATTTGGCCAAACATTATCCTGGGTGTTTCTGTGAGTGTGTTTTTCAATATTAATAGTTAAATCAGTAGACTGAGTAAAGCAGATTGCACTCCCTAATGTGGAGGGGCCTCATTCAATCAGTTAAAGGCCTGAATAGAACAAAAAGGCTGTCCTTCCCCTGAGTAATGGAGAATTCTTCCTGTCAGACCGTCTTCATATCTGAACCGAAACAGCAGCTCTTCCTGGGTCTCCAGCCTGCCAGTCTTTGGCAGGTACCACGCCATCATCAGCTCTCCTGGATCTCAGGCCTTTGGACTCAGACTGGAACTAAAGCATTGGCTCTCCTCGGTCTCCAACTTATTGACTCACCCTGCAGCTTTTGGGACTTGCCTGCCTGCATAATTCCTTGAGTCGATTCCTTATAATAAATCTCTTACACACACACACACACACACACACACACACACACACACATGCATGCATCTCACTGGTCCTGCTTCTATGCTAAGTCCCTTCCTGGGTGGGACACTCTGCTCATGCAATGCCTGTCAGAGTGGGGCGTGAAGGCTTGGCCTCCTTGCCCCAGCATGGGACAACTCCAAGGGATCGTCCCCGTAGAGTCAGCTGAGGCTCCCGCTGAGCCTGCGTCATTGCTCAGCTTCTCCCTCTGCCCAGCCCTGCTTCCATCACCTCCCTTACAGGTGTCTATCCTGAGAACACCTCCTACTAAACCTCCTGCTCACTACTCTGTATCTCAGAGCCCGCTTCCCAGCCTGACCTGCGATACCTAGACCCCTGCACTAGCCCCTAACCAGACTTCATGTGTCCATCTCTGCTCCCACCTCAGCCAAGGTGATCCTGGTAAAGCCTAAGTCCTACCTGCCACTCTGCCACCGAAGCCCCGTAACTCCCTGTCACTCACGGGAACACCGAAATCCTGGTCATGGCCTTCAGGGAACCCATGGCTTCTCTGACTCTATCTGCTACCATCCTACCCCTCCATTCTATTCACGCTGCCCCAGCCACACTAGTCTCTGTGCTGCTTCTCAAACACAGTTGAGGCAATTCCCACCTCAGGGCCTTTGCACTTGCTGTGCTTTCTGCCAGGAATGCCCCTCCCGATACATGCATAGCTTACTCCCTCACTTCCGTCAGGGTTTTACTAAGAACCCACCTTCTCAATATCTAAAATTGCAATCCTCCATGTGCCTGCTTTATTTTTATCCTTAGCATATATCTCCTTCTAACATACTATCTCTTTTACATATTTATTTTGTCTATATCTATGTAATATGTAATATCTCTATTACATATTTATTTCCCCCACTAAAACATAAGCTCCATGCAGGCAGAGAGTTCTCATGTGTTTGCTGTACCCCCAGAATCTAGAAACACGTCTGGCATATAGTAGGTCCTCAGTAAATACTTGTTGAATGAATGAATGAATGAATGAATGAATGAATACAAGTTGGGCTTCCACATCTCAGCTTGGACATTCAGGTGCCACTGCCCTGGGTGACAAGGTTCAGGATCATCCCCCACAGGCCTCTCTGAAAATCCTGGGCTCCTCCCCAGCACTCCCCCTGCCCAGAGAACTACCCTAAAATGGCAGCTAAAATGTCCAAACAAACCTCTCCTCCTGGCCCAGCCTTTTTAGGGCTAGTGCACTTGGCACTGGCTCTCTGACTCATGGGCAAGACACCCACCCTCACCAGCAGCTACTCAGTTTACAGAATCCTGCTGTGGGCACAGAATGGTGGAGATGTCAGAAGAGAAATTTTCCATGACTATTCAGAGCGTGAGTAATTGCAAAGCTCTCTGTCTCATTCCAGGCCAGAAACGGGGCAATTTGGGGATGCATTAGCCAAACACAGAGGATTGACGGAGCTTCTCATTCGTAAGTGATGACTGCCCAGGACAGCCTCCCAAGTAGCTAAGGCGGTGACAGAGCTGGCAGGACCCTGCTGGAGAGAGGCGGAGGCTGGCATTTACATCATCAGACCCCCTTCCACGCGCCTTGTTACTGATGATCACCAGTCTCTCAACGCCAGTGTCTACTGGCGATGCCCCTCGTGTAGGCCCTGCTCTGGCCCTCCAGGGAAGGCTGCAGAGCCAGCTGCCCCTGCTAAGCCCCCAGCCTGGAACCCTCTCCTGCCCCTCATCTGTCCTGTCCAGTAGTTCAGAGCACAGCTCTGATGATGGCTGCCTGCATTTTCTCCCAGCCCTATCAACCTGGAGCAAGGCACCTTTCGGTGCCTCAGTTTCCTCATCTGTACAGTGGGTAAAACAATAGTACCTTCCTCACAGGCTTGCTGAAAGGGCTAAATGAGTAAATACAACTAAGGAACCTAGAACAGGCCTGCACATGGCGAGTGCTCAATAGATGTTAACTACTGCTCCTAATAAAGAGAAGCCTCCCCTATCCCCACCCCTGAGTTTACCCCTTTTAGCAGCCCTTGAGGCCCAGGAAGCCTTGGCAACGACGACCACCTGCTTCCTCCTCCACCCACCTACCCCACCCCTGTCCTGAAAGACGAGAAAGGTGATTGACTAGCTGGGGTGGCCCCAGGAGCAGTGGGTACCGTGTTTCTGATGCAGCAGGTGTAGGGCACCCCGCAGGCCAGGGGTCCGGGGGCGTTGCAGTTGTGATACTGGTTTTTGCTCCAATCTTGGTAGTCTTCCCCACCACAGCACTTAAACTGAGAGAGAAAACAAGCAGGGAAGGGAGCTTCCGTCACTGCCAAGGCCCTGGGACAGCAGGAGGGGGCCCCAGCAGAAGACGGTGCAATGTATGATGCGGTCCACCCTGGTTTGGGGAGCTACGGGGAGCTTCAGGGAGCACACGAGGCCATACGGTGTCAGGTCAGAGCTCTCCGTAAGCAGCATGGCTGCCCAGAGGTAGCAAACACCCTGCCACTGGAGAGGCATGCAAGCCAAGGCTGGGAAGCCTCTTGGTAGACTATTGGTGTGGTGAGTAAGCCCTGTAAGGCCAAGTCCTTCCTTGACAAGTGGATTCCACCTTCATGTCCCCAGGGCAGGTGTTGGATCAGAAAAGCTGGCCTTTAAGGTCCTGGAGACTAGGATTCTATGGAAGCCCCATAACCCAGTGGCCCCTGCAGCACACTGACCTGCTCCTCACAGCCCCAGTGCCGCCTGCCTGCCTGCCCTTAGCAAAGAGGCACACACCCATCCTTTCCTGCCCTGGGCTCAGGACTGAGCGATGGTAAGGCTGGTGTTGTTTTCCCCTTAGCCTAGCACCTCCCTGCAGCTCCCCTTGTAATGGTGCCAACGCCTGGGGACAGTAGTATTCTACCAGGGTGCAGTGTGTGCCAGGCACTGTTCTGGGCACTAGCGAGACAGGGTAAACAAAGCAACATGGCCCCTGCCCACATGAGGCACGTTCCAGTGGAGGGAAACAGGTATAAGCACGACATGAAAAGGTCAGTGAGGTAGCGCTGTGTACCAGGAACACAGGGGAAAGGACAGGGAAGGGCAGCTTTAGATTAGGAGGTAAGGAAAGGCTGCTGAGGAGACAACGTTGAATCTGAAACACAAACAACAAGAAAAGCAACATGTGCAAAGGCCCCATGCAGAAATGAGCGAGTTGTATTTCATGAGCAGGTGTAGAGTCCAGCATGTCTCGAGCAGAACGAGAAGAGTAGAAGGGATGGGTTGAGGGGGTGCAGGGGAGTTATATGGTTAGAGGTCCTGGTAGAAACACAAATCAGACACCCTTCCACTGTCCCCACAGTGCCCTTTAGGCTATTAGGTTTTAGGGCCTGGAAGTACCTCTCCACGGTGCATGCAGAAGTCATTTGCCTAGCAATCAGACAGACCAGAGTTTAAACCTTCACACTACCACCCCTAGCTGTGTGACTTTGGGCAAGTCAATCAGCCTCTCTGGGCCTCATATATTCATCTGGAAAGCAGGAAGGAGAATGCCAGCTTTGCACAACTGAGCTGAGGATTACAAAGAGAGGCCAGGCATGATGCACCCAGCATAGGGCCTGGCACCAAGCATGAATCACCCCAGCCCCCACCACCACTCCCCCACTTCCCATCCCACCCTGGGAGAAATGAAATCCCCAAGCCAGCTGAGGGCTGATTCCAATAAAAACATGTTGCTCCACCCAACAGCCAGGGCTGGCAGGCACATCCCTGGCAGGGAAGGGCCTCCCAGAGGCTGCACCTGTTGTGACTATAGCAAAGGCCTGAGTCAAGGGAGTGGCCACTGTGGGTGGCCTGGGGTGGCCCTGGGTGTGGTGAGATATTGATGCCCACTAAGGGCTAGCTTGGGGGGACCAGGCCAGCTGAAGCCCCCCAAGGTCATGTCCCAGGAAGTGCCGCCAGGGCTAAATGGTGCTGCAGCCCTCAAGCTCTGCCTGTCCTCACCTAGGAGAACATGAGCTGACACTTACTGACTGGGGTCTTACCACACGTCTGGCACTGCTCTAAGCATTCTGAATTAAATCAAGGCAATCTCACAATGACGCCATGAAGGGACTGTTAATATCCCCCTGACACAGATGAGGAACCGAAGGCTCAGCACTAAATGAGATGGATGTGTAGAAGCCACCGAGGGCAGTGGCTGGCCCTGCAACTGCTATCATTGCACTAACAGACCGTGGGTAGACCTTGCGGGAGAGGAACAGCACCCCAACATGACATCATCACATGGGTCATGGAGGAAAAGGAGAAGTCAGGGGAAATGGAACCGGGGAAGAGCTCCCCACACCGGGGCTTGTCCTTGACTTGGCAGGGAGTAAGCTCCCCACCACTGAAGGGATTTGGCAGAAGGGGCTTTTGAACTGAGTGGCTTAGAGGTCACTCCCATCTCAAAGAAGGAGGATCTTTGCCCATCGGAAAGGGGCGCCCTGGGGCCATGTAAGGTGACCTTGTTTTTTGTTTGAGGAGAGGAGGGTCCATGTAACTGGAGAGGGACAGATAGGGCAAGGACATTTTGGGCCAGGCATGTGGGCAGAGGGCTGGTTGAGAAGGTCAGGCCCCATCCTTGGTGGCCATGCACGGCCCACCCTTGCCTCCCATCTTGGCCAGCCATCTGCTTTGGGAATGGATAAGCCATGTGACCCCTCACCCTCACGCTCCTGAGCAGGGTTCCAAGTAGTGGACAAAGGGCATGGGAGGCAGAGCTCTGACCCAAAGACTCACCTTCTTCTGAACAAAGTCCATGATGTTTTTGAAGTCCAGATCATCATAGTAGTTCTCGATTCCTCTTCGAATGTTATCATTCAGAAAGTCGATGGTCTGTTTAGACAGAGAAATTACAAAAGAAGAGGACCACAACCCACTCCCCGCCTAGCGTCCAACCCAAGATTTCCCAGAAATCCCGATTGGAACAGAGCGCCCCAGTGCCAATAGCCCCACCCCTGCCTGCACGAGCACCCGCTCCGTTCCCAGCCGGAATATCTATGACCTCCCCGTCCCCAGTGTCCACCTAATGCCTGAGGTCCTCTGTCCAAGCAGGAGTGATTCACCCCCATTTCCTTTACGGATCAGACAACTCAGGCACCAAGACGGTGAGGCCCTTTTTGGAGGTGTGGGGGGACATAGCTCCAAAGCAGCCATGCCAGGCTGGCCTAGGCTGGCCTCTTCCTGGCCTGGTGTTTCTTCTGTCACCCAAAGACAGGCCTGAGCTGAGTCCCCTTTGCCCTCTAGACCTCCTTTTCACCCTTCTCTACTAATCAATCACTTGTGTTACAAATAAGGAAACTGAGGCCCGAGAGGTGGCCTGGCTCTCCCCAGGTCACCGAGCCGGCTGGTTAGGGCCCAGCCAGGACTGGGAATCAGGTCTTCTGACCTCCTGCATGGGCCAGACGAACAAGCCCACCACCCAGCTCGGGCTGGGGCAGCCCCCACCGGGAAGAGCGCTGGCATGCTGCCCTCGCCCAGTCACGCTGGGCCTTCTGGATCAACAGCCTGGCTGTTGTGCTGAGATCCAGGAACACAAAAGGCTCCACAGCGGGAAGGGGTGGGGGCGGGAATGTGGGCAGCCCAGCTCTACGCTCACGGTGACAATCGGGGCTTTCAGAGCAGGGAGGCCCGCGTATCATCAGAGATTGTGCTGGCACAAAGGGGGCATTCTTGGCTCCGGAGCCAGACAATCCCTGGGGGAGGTGCCCGCCACAGGAACACTGGGACAACAGGGCCCTGGGTTCCAGGTCCAGTTCTGCCACTGCAGGCCCTGTCACAGCTACTTCCCCATTCTGGGCCTCAGTTTCCCACTTTTGAACTGGCCCTGAAGGCCTATCTTGAAGACACCTTCCAGCTCCAAGGATCCAAGACTAGGCTGAGTGGGGTTGTCAAGCCTCATGGTCAAGAAGCGCCCACACAGCCAACCAGGCCTCAGGCACTTCATCTAAGACTCAAGCCTCCATTTCCTTACCTACAAAACGGGGAGGGCAGCTTTCTGCCTCACAGGGCTCTGAGATTTAAATAAAGCTACGAAGATGCTTAGCAGGGGACATAATAAGTCCCGTCTTATTATAGACCTTTTTCTCTTTTTCCAGGAGACGCAAACTCTATGGTACCACTTCACACCCATCATGTCATCAGTGGAAAATGGAATCCCAATGGAAGCCAAGGCCCCAAGTCTTGCCCAAAACGCCTACCGCAATGGGGGCAGCCTCCGGACAAGATCTGGGCCCTGGGCTGGGACCCTTCACAAACACCCTGCAGCCCAGAGGCGATATGATTTGCCCAAGGTCACCCTGCTGGCCACTAGCAGAGAGATACTAGAATCAAGGTGCCAAGCTCTCAGCCTGATATACTTTAAAAAGCCAAGATTGTTTGGGGCCATCTCCCCAACCCATCTCCAGGATCAGGAATGCAGGGACAAAGGACACATAGTCCTTCCGGACACACTGCTCAAGGCCAAGGTAACGAGGGGACTGACTCTGGCCAGAAGGAAAACCTCTGCTGATGATAAACAGTTGCTCAGGAGCAGACCTGGGAGCTGAGGAAGACTGCACGGCCACCTTGGGAGGCCTGGGCCAGGCCCTCTCCCATGTGAAAGCCTCTGCACTCCCCCACCCTTAGCCCTGTCCAGGTCTGGCACTGTATTCCAGGCTAAAGGCTGGTAGAATGGCTGCTCACTGGCCATGCAGCTGGAGCACAGCAGGGACCACCTGGGCTCAGGCCCACCTTTTCCAGAGGCCCCCAGTTCATGAAACCTTTCCAACCTCGGGTGCCTGCCCTCTGGGTGATGAAGGGACAGGCCATCCAGCTGGGGTATGGTTGGGGTGTCTAAGAAGCAGGGCACCAGAGTGGGGCCAGTCTGCCACCCAGGGTAGGGCAGGGAATGACCTCATGGCATTGAATACCATGCTGCAGGGGGCCCTTGGCTGAGCTAAGGTGTAGGGGGTGATGTCAGGGTCAGGGCATGTCTAAGGCCACGTGCATGGGGGGGAGTCAACTGGTTTCCTTCCACTCTCGAGGCACTGCAGACAGGGTCCTGGTCCACCACGTCCCTTTGCACCTACACCAGTCCACTGGCCGCCTCCCAGCCCTCCACCGGGTCATGTGCTATTTGGACAACCCCCACAGACAGAGATGGGGTGGGAAGGATGAGGGCAGGAGGCCCAGGGCAAGGTCAGCAGAGGGCATGCCCAGTGGTCCAGTGGGAAAGGCTCTCCCTCCCTCTTTGGAGAGCAGCCCTGACCTCTCTCCCCAAACCATCTCAGTTTCTGAGTACTTTCCAAAGCCACTAATTCCAAGAGGCCTCTGAAAATCAGGCCTTCCATCTGTAAGCTGAGCCGGGCCCCTGTGGGGAAGGCATGTCTCACTGGAGGCCTCTCAAAATGGGCAGGAAGAACAGATGATCCCAGGCTCCATGGGCAGCAGCTGCCCCCAATCCCTTTCAGGGACCTCTTTGGGTCATGCTGGCTCTTGCATGTGTTCATTGCCTCTGGCAATGTGTGTGTGTGTGTGTGTGTGTACCAGAGTTGTGTAGGACATTTGAGTGGTCCCTAAGCTGTGATGGAAGGGGTGGGGGTGGGAGTGTGAGAAACTCCAGTGAGGCAGGCAAGTTGTATAGTTCATTAATGACTGTAAAATGCTCTGCTGTGTTCAGGTTCGTTCTGAGAAACTGGGGGAGTCACTCAGGGGATAAGCCTTGTGGAGCGTGGCAAGGAAGAGAGAATTCTGGCTTCCTCTGCAGCTCTCGGAGGCCAAACACACCCGGTGCCAACCCCGCTCTGCTCTAAACCAGGTCATGCCAGCAGGGGCAGCTCCAACAAGGACTAGAAAACCACCTTTCACAAATGGCTGGCAAGGCCTCAGTGGCCACGCGGCCCGGGCTAAATTAAGCAAAGAGTAAGCAAACATCAAAGGCCACCGGATTTTCAGAGCATGTTGTTTAAGCCGCCAGTCAAGCTACAAAGAACAGTCCTATCTAGTTCTTTCTTTTAAATCTAGTTTTAAAGATACCTGAAGCCTCCACATCGCCCTTCTCGGCAGAGGCACTTAGAGTGTTTTTAAATGAATGAGGGATCAAGCACGTGGCAGCAGCCTCCCCAGGATGGGAGGCCAGAGGTGCGTGGGGGGAGGGGTGGCAGCTAGAACGTCCCACCAGGCCTCTGGGATGGAGATGTCCTTGTTTCCTGGTTTCCTGCAGCCTGCCAGCTTCCATTGCTTCCATATCGGCTTCTGAGGCCCAAGGCTGGGGAGGCCCGGCTACTGGCAACCCAGCGGGAACCAACGCCAGCCTGGTTCTCCTCACACGAAACCATCATCGCATAACACTGAGCTAGCATCTCTGGGCTTCCCTCAAGTTCCCTAGAAGGGGGACTCGTCCTCAGCCCCCAGACCCCAGCCTCTGCTCCATCCCTGAGATAGGCCCAATCTGACAACAAAGGGCAAAAGAGAACCCAGAGAGCTAGAAAAAAAAGAGGAGAGGAAGCCGCAAGTTTCTTTGGAATAGTGCCAGGTCCTTCCTCACACCTGGCGGAGGTCACAGGTTTAACGCCTGTGGTGGGGAAAGTTATGCTTCAGCTTCCCAGGCATTTGTGGCTCCAGCTCTCACTCCCAAGCGATCGTCCACAGTGGGGCGCACCAGCTGTGGGAGTCTGGCTAGATCAGTGCAGGACTTTCTCTACTTTGCCCTGGGTGATCTATATGTTCAGGTGCTCGGCAAAGCGGGTCATGGTTCTGTCTCCTTTCCCCCTGCTCCTGACCTCAAGGTCCTGCCCAGAGACAGCTAGTGCTAGTGCCATCATAAAATAAACAGGCTGGTTGCCATCCAACATTTCCCTGGCCTGGTGTGACCACGGCACCCTTTGATCAAGGTCGGGAAAGAGGCCACTCCTCCCCTGCCCTGGTGGTAGAGGGAAGGTAGAGGGAAGTAGGCCTGGCATGGGGGTACAGATATACCAATTACAGCCCAGAGACCTCTGGGTATCCCTGCTCAGCTCTGCCTGACTGGGAATCCATGGGTAGGAACTGCCCCCCTCCGACACTCCTGACACCCTCAAGAGAGGCCCCAGAACAAACTAGGGGTAATGGGAGGTCAAGAGGGGTGAGACCCAGACAAATCATGGCGGTCATTCAGGTTCTCCTCTTACTGCCTGGGGTCAGGATGCTGTACATCTGCTTCTAACGCTCAGGCCCTCAGGGCAACCTACTCTGTGCCCAGCTCCTCCAAGCAAGGCCACCAGGCCCTACACAAGCAGAGAAGTCACTTTAGTCTGACCATCAGGTTACCCCTGACAGCAGAAACCTTATCCAGGGTCAAGGGTTGAAGGAGAGTTTCTTTCTTATACGGAGGAGTCTGTTTATCTTTTGCAGCCTGGCTGTGGCCGAGGTCTATGCACCTTCCTGAGAACCCAGTGTGAAGTCATTAGCCTGATCATTTATCTTCATTTGTCACCACAGATGGATTCTTAGAGTTAACAGGTAGCCTGGGGCTGGACTGGTTATCATGTGGCTCAGGGTAATCTGTCTTCTCTTGGTGAGGAAAAAAATGAGACTGGGAACTCACCTCCTCCCAGAAGCTGCCCTTGATTGCGCCTCACCTTTTTCTCCCCCTTACGCTGCCCCTTCTGGCTACCGGCCACAGGCAGGCTGCTCCTTCCCTAGCCTCACCATTGGCTCGTCTCTTGTTTTACAAAATTGCATTGCATTAGAGTCAGAGAGGACATTATTTTTCTTTATACGGCATTTTTCCCCTTGATTACAGAAAAAAAAAGAAAATTGGGAAGCTAGGGAAAAGTATAAAGGAGAAAATAAAAATCCTATCCTAGTCCTATCCC